CTGCTTTACACAGGACTCTGGTGGGGAGAGAGGGCAGGGTTGGAGGCGGAGGAGCAGAGTGGCCTCCAATGCGAGGCCAAATCCCTTTCTCAAGGAGCTGCCAAGGGCAGGGGTAGGGCTCCTGCAGAACCTCCTCTTTCTGAGATAGTCTTCCCACCCGACGGGCCCACCTCTCATTTTTAACTTGTCCTTCTCTCCATGTTCCTCTCTTTTCTTTTCTTCCATTTTCAAAGATCTGGTGGCCTGTCTTCCTGAAGCTGGGATACCTGGAGACTGCAGCTAGTGGGGTTTCTCCTCTCCCTTACACACACACACACACACACACACACGCACTCTCTCTCACACACACACACACTCACACATGTGTGTGAGCACACGCACACAGTGATTTCCTGACTAACATCAGGCCGCCCCTACTCGGAAGTGCTTCCTGCACAGGGACTGGGTCCTCTGCACTGAGAGGTGGAAGGTTTGGGGTGGCTGGGTGCCCCCTTTGCCATTCAGAACAAACTGTGAGGCAGTGTCCTGTGGGCACAGGAGCAAGAGCAGAATGCTGGGACTCAGGAGGCAGCCTCTCCCTGGTTCTCAGCCTCATCTTAAAAATGGGAGGTTGATCTAATGGAGCTTCAAGTCAGAAGGGATCTGTGATGCCATTCAATCTAGGGTCCACCCTGTGTGGGAACCTCTGCCCCAGCTGTTCTGGGTGGCAGTCACACAGCTCCTACTAGAAGCTCTGCAGGAGCCCTGCACCTTACCTTCTAGGGGCTCGTTGCTCATTGGAGGGTAACAGCCTTAGAATCTGCTCTCCCTTATCCTCCATTCTATAATTATTTATTAAAGGCTCACTCTGGCCAGCGTGCCTCCCAGGGCTGCTGGTTGGTGGAAGCGGTGCAGCATCAACTGATTACCCCCAGAGGCCCCAGCCCCACCAGCGGGTGCTTCAACAGGGCAGCTGTACTGCTGTGTGCCCGGGACTGTGCCAAGCTTCAGCTTCCGCACCACCTTAATGAGGCGGCATGCTTGTCCCCGTTTTACACGGAGGAGGCTGAGGCTCAGGGCTTGATGGGCCACAGCCCTCAGCTTGGAAGTTCTGGAGCAGGCACAAGCCCAGGTGGGCTCTCTGCTTCCAGCCTGAGCTCTCAGGCTCTGCACCTTTTTCTGAGAGATACCTGCTCTTAGTCACTGTGTCTGTAAAATGGAAATAATTCCACTTGCTTGTTGGATGTATTGGAAGGTTTAAGAAAGATAATGCATGGAGAACGCTTAATTCTTAGTTGCTGGCATCTAGTTCTAGCTTGTTCAATGGTGGCCAACACTCTTATAACGGACTCTGCCCCTGCATATCCCCAGCAAGGCTACTGAACCTTCTCTGCTCCTTTTTCTTTGGAGCATGGAGTTAGAGTGCCTGTTCCCCGTAAGGGGTGCTTTGGCCAGAGTGAGGTCAGTGGTGGAGAGAGGGGCCTCTCCACGCACAGGATCTGTGGTAGCCCAGTGGCTAACCGGGCCGGCTGGCATCAGCCTTTAAATAGCTCCACATCACTCCTCCCAGGCCAGCTTCCCACACATGGGTAATTAAGCTCACAACATTTAGTGTAAGCAAATAATAACAAGAGCATTATCTCCCTTTAGTCTGTGTTTTTCCTTGCCTATCATAAAGTAATTAAAATAATGAATGCCTTGTAAAACAATAGGTAAGAGGGCTGGTGAAATAGCATTATCTGCCACATACCTCTTGTGTTGTGAATTTCTTTTTTTTGAGACGGAGTTTCGCTCTTGTTACCCAGGCTGGAGTGCAATGGCGCGATCTCGGCTCACCGCAACCTCTGCCTCCTGGGTTCAGGCAATTCTTCTGCCTCAACCTCCTGAGTAGCTGGGATTACAGGCACGCACCACCACGCCCAGCTAATTTTTGTATTTTTAGTAGAGACGGGGTTTCACCATGTTGACCTGGATGGTCTCGATCTCTTGACCTCGTGATCCACCCGCCTCGGCCTCCCAAAGTGCTGGAATTACAGGCTTGAGCCACCACGTCCGGCTCTGTGCTGTGAATTTCTGATGCAGCTAACCACTGTGACTGGAGGGCCCCCCTGCCTCCCAGCCTTTTTCTCGTTGATTTCTCCTCTCCAGGATCTACCAAGGGGCTGTGGAACCTGGGTCCCCAGGACTGAGCAGCAGGGAGCTAGCCTTCTAGGCCTCCACATGGTGGCCCGGGACCAGTTCAGAAGCATCCTGGGAGGCTTGACTCAGAAGGAAATAGTAGAGCCTCAGATTTAAGGACCATCTCCTTGCCCTCTTCTTTTCCCCACCCCTCCACCAATGTCCAATTTTGAAAGAAGCAAATGGTTCTGTCCTTGGAGAACTGGGAGTGAAGATCCATGTCCCATTTCAGCAGTCACCGAGCCATACCAGGGTGGTCAGGAGCTGTGGTCTCCAAAGTGGGCTCCCAAGGCTGGCAGCATCAGCACTGCCTGACAACTTGGTGTAAATGTAGGTTCTGGGAGGGGCCAGACACACTGTTTCAACAAGCCCTCCGGCGCGTTTATGATGCCCGCTCATATGTGAGCACCACTGCTTTATGGTGCCAGTGGCACGAGAAGCAGCCAGGGGTGCTGGGATGATTGCTGGAACCCGTATTTTGTAGTGTTGGGCACTGTTTAATTCTGAGAACGCCTGAGGGGCTGGGAGTACTGTCCCCATCTTATGGAAGAGGTCCCACAGCGGTGGGAGAGCTAGATTTCCCCCCAAATCTATGCATTTAGTTACCATGGCTGCCCCTGTATCAGGGCCTCCCCCTCCTCCTAAATACTCTCCTGTTCAGAGTCTCACAGGGCAGAGACTCAGGGACCAGGGCAAGACCTAACAGGTCCTATCTGAGACTGGCCTAGGAGGCTTGGGCAGCAGGTCCCACACATGTCAGCAGGCAGCCCCTGCGGCCTCCCCCTCCCAGGCCTCCTCTTGGGTCATTCTAGCTCCGTGGGGCTTAACACACTTGGAAATGAAATATTACCATCCAGGGCTGCAGATGCGGCTTCTGTCTTCCCCAGCTTCCCTGAGCCACAGGCAGCCAGAGGAAGAGAAGTGGAAATCGAGAGCAACTTCCTGTCTGCCGTGACCAAGTCCCCAAGAGGATGACTCACCAGCGTGCCCTCACCACCTGCCTCCCATGTGCCTGGCCTCCCTATGCCTCGCCCCCTGTGTCACTGCAGACAAAGCTTTTCACCACCGTTCTTGGTTCTTCCCCTTACTCCAGATCACAGTGATTCCCCAGTGTGGCTTTGCCTTGGGAATTAATTCCAGAGTTTTAAATGATGAACTAAATTTGCTGGCATCTTTTTAAACATCTTCATTTGCAGTAATAATTGCAGTGGGTATTTGTGTTGGGGTCCAGTTAAATGTACATTTTTAGATAAATAATGAATAAGCTTTTAGTATAAGTATGTTCCAGGTAGTATTTGGAGAATATACTTGTACTAAAAAGTTATTTGTTATTTATCTGAAATTTAAATTTTACTTGGTATCCTGCATTTTATCTGGCAACACTAAACCCAGCCTCTGTGGCCAATGAGGGGCCGATACTCACAGCCCTTTCTAGTCATTCATTCATGTTTATTGAGCCAACTCTGTGCCAGGCACTCTGTTAGGCACCAAGGCTGCAGCAGTTGGGGAAGCAGACGTAAGTGAAAGAAATAAATGATTTATTAAGTATATTAGAGGTTTTAAGTGCTATGGAGAAAAACAAAGCAGAAAAGTGCTGTTGGAAAGAAAGTGTTGCAAATTTAAACAGGTAGCCAGGGAAGACTTTATTGAGCGAAGACAAGGAAGCAGGCCATAAGTCTCTGTGGGAGAAGAGTATTCTAGGCAGAAAACTCACTGTGTGCAAAAGTTTACAATTTAGACTCCTATGTGGGGCTCAGTTATCTAACGAGATCAGCCTTGTTTCCTCAAGCACATTTTAAGCCACAAGGGGAATTTGTTGTCTTCTGTAACTGAAAGGGTCTGGTGTGGATTTCAGGCACAGCTGGATCCAGGTGTTCAAATGATGACATCAGTATTCTATCACTTTTACTTTTCTCTGCGGTGATTTCATTCTCAGGGAAGAATGACTTTTCCTATTCTTTCCTGCAAATGTTTTACACTTGAGTCTTATTGGGTTGGCATGGATACTGTGACTATTCATGGCCCAATTGCTGTTGGCAGGAGGTAGAAGGGGCTGATTGATTAGTTTCCACCATTGGAGGCAATGTGGGGCCATCTCTTCCGTTTGAACCATTTCCATTTGAACCACATAGACCGAGATGAAGAGATAATAATTTTCTTAAAGGAAAGTGGGGGTGCTGCTGTGAGAAGGGGCATAGAGACTGGGCAGGCAAAGACCACGGCATCCCTCCTGCACTTTCCTCCTCCCTCCTCAGCATGCCCTAATCTTAGACCAACTGCATTTTCTTCTGCTTTGGTGTTTTTTTTTTTTCTTTAAAATGGGAGGAGACCAACACTTTGGGAGACCGAGGTGGGTGGATCACTTGAAGTCAAGAGTTCGAGACTAGCCTGGCCAACATGGTGAAACCCCATCTCTACTAAAAATAAAAAAATTAGCTGAGCGTGGTGGTGCATACCTGTAATCCCAGCTACTTGGGAGGCTGAGGCAGGAGTATTGCTTGCACCTGGGGAGTAGACGTTGCAGAGCTGAGATTGCACCACTGTACTCCAGCCTGGGTCATAGAGTGAGACTTCATCTCAGAAAATAAAAAATAAGAGAAAAATACCATCCTTCTTACTTTGAATAAGATATTTTAAGAGGAAACAAAGAAAATATTCTTTTTAAAATAAATATTTTTTTTAAATTAAAGGCATAATTTACCCCTTCTGTTTTACTCCTGTACCTTTAAGCCAGTTTCTACCTGAGCTGGGGACCCCTTCGGGCTCTGGTTCTTTATGGGTAGGGTATGTTATTTAAATCCAGTGGTTCCTTATATCTCAACTGTTGCTTTTTCTGTTGCCAGGAGGCCCAGAAGATTAACAATGGCTCAAGCCAGGCGGATGGCACTCTCAAACCAGTGGATGAAAAAGAGGAGGCAGTGGCCGCCGAGGTCGGCTGGATGACCTCTGTGAAGGACTGGGCGGGGGTGATGATATCCGCCCAGACACTGACTGGCAGAGTCCTGGTGAGTTTCCACCCCTTCCCACACCAGGAAGGCCTTGCTGTGTGGGCCAAGATGGCTTTGCTTATGAGATGTGATGTGCCCTAGGGTCTTCTGCAGGAGGCTGGCTACTGGGAGGTGGGGGTGAGCAGCAAGTGCTCCCACGTGGTCATGAAGGAGAGGCTCCGTTCTTTGTGTATGGTGGTTTGCGGAGGGATTTTCAGGGAGTGGTGTTTGCAGTAGAGAGGGGTTGTTGGGAGGATGTGGCACGTTTCCTCTGCTAATAAGTGCGCATGCATGCACATGCACACGCCTGCACACACACACACCCTCCATCATATTGGAGAGGAATATTGGTCAAGGAAACATACCAGAAACTTATGGAAGGGCCACAAATGCTGGGATCCTGGGGAGTGCCGAGAGAGCAAGCAAGCGCGAGCGAGAGAGCGCGAGCGCATGCGCGCATGCATATGCATGTGTGAGTGTGTGTGTGTGTGTGTGTGTGTGGTGGCCTTCAGGGGATGTTCTCATTGTCTTCTCTTAGCCTGTAGGGACCTCTGCTTGGAGCAGTTTCCAGATTTTCTGCAGTGAGCTGGGCCCTGTGCATGGCAAAAATCAGTCATGCTGATGGTGGACACATCAGCAGCTCATCTGAGGCTGCCTGGCCCGTGTGCCTGAAGCTCCCTTGTGTGCCCTTTTCTGGTGAGGTTGTCTCCCAGGCCCACCTGCAACCAGGGCTGATCCTGCCCCTTCTCTGTGCATTTCCAACATCTCTCTGATCTGCTTATATGAAACTTGGCTTCACTGGCTGGCCTCATGAGCCCTTAGTTTTTGTCAAGGATCATTAGTGGGACAGGCCTGTGGTGACCAACAATCCCAGTTTGCCTGGGACTGAGGGGTACATGGGACATGAGTCTTTCAGTGCAAAAACTGGGAAGGTCCTGGGCAAACAGGGATGAATTAGTCACCATAGCCAGGTCCATACTCTGGGAAAGCCCTGCTCTATGGCTTTCTTGGGTCTGCTCTAGGTCAGGAGTTTCCCTAAGAAGGATGTTGCATTCGGAGTGATTTTTCATTGTGATTCTGGAAGCTGTTTTGTTTGGGTCACCTGTCCTGGCTTGAAGCTAGAGCTCAGTCAAGAGTCATCTGGCTCATAGATGGAAGGAGTAGGGCATGTGTGGCCCTTTCCTGAGGCCTGCGTGGCTCAAAGACCAGGCAGGGAAACTGGGAAACAGTCATTATCTCTGAGTTTCGCGGCAAAAACTCAGTGAGGAGGTGATTGTAGATGGAGGACGGTGGTGAGAATTTCACTTCTCAGAATCCTTCTTGGAAAGAACTCAGTGTTATGTCTGGGATCAATATCACACATACTTCTTGAAGGAAGGACTGAGAGACTGAACGTGGTGCATAAGTAATCAAAGGTGCCGGCCATACAGCCTTCAGGAAGGACAGGTTCTGCTCACTGAGGGATCTGTCTTGAGCTGTGTGCTGAAGAGACTGGATATGAAACTGTGGCTGATGTCAATTGATAGCAAAATGGAAAGAGGGGAAATTTAAAATTGGAGTTTTGGAGGAGGAGAGAAAAACTGATGAGGTCAGTGGCTGCTTGGAGGAATGCACAGGAGGGAGACAATCCAGTCTGGTGTGACCCAGGAGGGACGATGTGTAGTGGGGACTTGGAAGTGCCTTGCTCTTGGCTATGCTGTGTAACAGCCCTTCTGTATTTCTTCCTGCCTCTTCAGTGAAGTCTCCATTGTGCTTTTATGCTTAAAGAAGAGCAGATTCTGCATTGGAAACTTACAGAGGTTAAATTCTGGACCTGGGTATTCATGGGGACACAATGGATGTATTCTACATGTACGGTGGTGATAATGAATGGGGAACAGGAGACAGTTTGCTTGCACAAATGTGACACTTGTTCCTTTCATGTGGCCATTATAGACAGGTCTAATTTTCTTCATCAGCGTTGCCAAGAGTTACTGAACACGAATTCTGGGCCAAGTGTATTTGTTTTTTCAGCTCTGTGGAAAACAAGGAAGGATCCTGATTCTATTGTGCCATGTAGGGAAGTTATTGAAGGAATGTGTGGACGGTGGGTGCTGTGAGTACAAACACGGTGTGCATGTGTGTGGGTGTGAGGAGGGGCTGTGGGGGAAAGTAGGGCTGATCATAAAAGCCTTCATAGGGAGGAAAGCCTTTGAACTAAAGCTCCCATTTCAAGATGAACTGAGCATGTGCTTTATGGCGGGAAGATATCAAAAATAAAAACATATCCAAGCCTAAACACAAGAAAATGACCAGTAGGTGGGCCAGAATCTGTGAAGAATACCTAATACGACAGAATGCATTTGCAGTGAGCTTTGTAGTGTGAGTTAGGATCTTGAGAGTCAAAGGAGAGGAAAGCCTTCAAAGCGAGGAGCAGGAAATGCAGAGAAGGAGCCTGGTATCCTGGGGAATGGGGGGTGTAGACCCCAAAGTCTAGGGATGGAGACAGCCTGGTGGGGCTTTAAAGGCCAAGCTAAAGAGTTTCTGGAGTTTGTAGAACAAGGAGATTTTGAGGCAGGGGGTGTTGTACAGAGAGAGCTCGGGGACAAGTGGAGACTGAATGGGTGAAGCTGGAGCTTGGAGGCTATAGGACAAGTTAGGGCAGTGAGCTGCTGCCTTAGTGATGGCTTGGGAGCAGATTCCTGCCGTAGTCCTGGTGAGGCACAGTCTGCAGTGGCACTAAGCAGATGATGCAGGTGGTAGATGGGGGTAATATCTTGGAAGCAGAACTCATTGGGCCAAGCACACCCAGTGGCCACCTTGATCCTCTCCTGGCATTCACACTGTTGAAAGCCTCTTGGGAGCCAGTCACTGTGCTAGGCCTTATATGTTATGATCAATTTGAAGGGCAGGGACAATGTCATATTTCTTCCATATCTCCTTACTGCTATTGTGTTGTAGGGGTTCATTAGAAGAAAACAAGCCAGTCTTATCAGTGAATTCATCTCTGTTTTATGGTTGAGAAAAATCAAGACATAGCAAGGGCAATGAGTTGTCTAGAAACGTTCAGCTTTGAGTGACAGAGCCAGGCTACTACCTGCCAGCCCCCTGTCTCCCAGTCTGGTGTTCTTTTTGTCATTACTTCCCAGTTGAAGATAATGTCTTTTCTTTTCTAAGCCCCTGCGAGCTGTCACTTTGTCTGTGACATTTTGACATTACCATCTTCTGGCCACTTTGGTCCTGAGGATGCTTGGCTGGCTTGTTTAACATGTGCACGCTGAAGCATGGTCCACACAGGGCTCTTTGTCTGAGCCTGCCCAAGGTGCCAGCTGCTCTCTGAAGGTCTCCTTGCAGAAAATCCTGCCAAGGCTGCTGGGGCCACCCAGAGCAAAGTGGGACCCACTGCAGACAGGAGGCCTCTCAGAGATCTAGGAGGTATCCTGAGAACACGCCTGTCCTCGTGGAGCAGGCAGGTCTCTGCACTGAGCAAAGAGCAGATTTCCCAATGAAGTCCTGGTGTACAAGAGAAAGCAGCTTGGCCTGTTCAAAACCCAAAGCTGTGTTTGTCTTGAGCTGTCCCAATGTTTATCCCTGCAACAGGAGGACCAAAGCAAGACCAGATACCTGGCTCTTCAGTTTCCCTTTTCAATTTTTAATTTGTTTTCCTTGATGGATGCTCAGGAGCTTGGCCTCCAAATCTGGGCCTCTCACCTGCCTAATTGTCACAGGTGAGAATCTCGAACCTGGGACATCATGAATAAGGTCCAGCTGGGGAAAGATTTGCCAAGACAATCTCAATATCTGTAGGATCTCTCAGACGAGCACATCTGTTATTCACTAAATGCTTATTTCTCACCTGTACCTTACGCTGTTTAAGGTACTGAGCATAACACAGTGAGCAACAGAACTCCAGAGTATGAATTATTTATATTGATAAACTAGATATAAGGGTGCAGAGCTTAGTTTAAGAAATTGATAATTGCCATTCACCAGTGCTTTTTACAGTCAATGCCTGGAGCCCCATCATCCACGTGATAAAAATTCCTTGACCCCTCGGCTCCAGATCTCAGAATAGCCTGTCTTTGCCTCCTCTCTCACCCTGGCCCCAGGCTCAGCTGCCCAAAAATAGTAGGACAGGACCGAGCCTTCTCTTGGAGCATGTGGCGGAGGGATTCTACATTAAAGTGCATGCCAGACTGTCGAGGGTACTGCTTCCTTTAAATTTTTCTTAATAAACAAATGTTTCTCTTCTGATTATGAACGTAATATATGTTTGCTTTTGTAAAAATTTTGAAACATACTGGAAGAAGCGCTGATGAATTCCACTTTGGGATTTGGAGTTGGCTCCGGCAGAGGGAAATTTGGATACAGTAGTCGATATCGTCAGGATTTCTCTCAACCACTTGGGGGTCGTTGAGGACTTTGTTCACTGCATCTCGTGTTACCCGCTTTATGCACAGACTCGTGGGATAAATAGTTTTTTTTTTTTGCACCAGAGATTGTTGTGGTTTTCCTGGTGAATATCCACTGAACACGCTAAGTCGAGAAAGGGCTCAGGTCTCTCAGGGGGAGGCCACTCAGAGCCAAGTTGGTGCTTATGGAAAATACAGTGTCTCAAGTTTGCACTCTGTGTCTTTGCACCCTCCCCTGACTTGTCCTCATCATCTCTCCTCTCATCTTCCCTTTGCCCTACTTTTCTCACTCCTATTTGAAATTTACAGATATGCAGCTGTGTGCTCCGTACATTTTTGTCAGGTAAATTAAATCCTTTTAAGAATAAGGTGGTTTCTAAATAAAGAGGGCAAGAAACATGTGAAATAGGATTTAGTATACTTTCATTGTACTGTACAGAATCATAAGCCAAAATCAATAGCGATAGTCAAGTTCAGGGTCAGTATGTTTTTCTGTAAAAGGCCAAATAGTAAATATTCTAGGCTTACAGGTCATGTGGGCTCCACTGCTTAACTCTGCCACAGTAGTTTGAAAGCAGCCACTAACAGCCTCGATGTGACTTTGTTCCAATAAAACTTTCTTTATAG